CACAAGTCGTCGATGCACAGCCGATACCGAGCGCTCGTGTACGCATACGAATGTGTGGAAGGAATTCAAAGAGTTACACTTCAAGATGAATCAATACCGCACGACAAGAATTCAAGATGTGAAGTTTCCTAAGGGTTCTGCAGCCTCTCAAAGATAAGTACAGACGTCTCCGTACCGATCCGCAAGACTCTACTGAACCTGCTCATGACTCGTGAGACCTACGTAACCTAGGCTCTGATACCAACTTGTCACGACCCAAAAACCAACCCTGTCGTGATGGCGCCTATCGTGGTACTAGGCAAGCCGACACATGACCAAAACAAAATGAGATTTTCATTTTCAAGATAATTCCCAAAGCTATTTAATATAAAACCTTCCTAAGGAGTGTAAATCAAAACAGAAGTGCAGAAAAGAAAGCCCGACATCGGGGTATCACTAGTCATGAGCATCTACTACAACTGTTTGACAATACCAAGACTAACATAGTCTGGGAAATACTGAATACAACTAAGGGAAGATAAAGATGGAGGAAAGCAGGGCTGCGATCACCAGGCAGCTACCTTGCTAACTCCGATGGATCTGCAACTGAATAATTAACACCCGCTACCGGGTCCAGAAATACCTGAATCTGCACACAAGGTGCAGGGAGTAACGTGAGTATGCCAACTCAGTAAGTAACCAAAGTCAATAAAGGCTGAGAAGCAGTGACGAGCAATAAAACATATCAAGTTCATATCATGAAATCTCATTAAAATCCAACATGCTTATAAAAGCTGAGTTTGAATTTAAATCGTCTCATTTAAACTCGGCTTCAGTAAAATCATTTGAAGATATTTTCAACAGCTCTCAACAGAGGCTCGGTACAACAGTGAGCAAAAAAAATAATGAAATCATAAACAGCCCCTTGGGAAAAACATCACTCATGAACAGCCCCTCGGGCAAACCTCTCAGTCACTTGCATACAGCCCCTCGGGCATACCTCACCATCACTCATATACAGCCCCTTGGGCAAAACATTACTCAAGGTACCCGTGCTCACTGGGGGTGTGCAGACTCCGGATGGGCTCCTTCAACCCAAGCACTATAACAAGCCACCACGTGGAATAATCAATCAGGCCCTCGGCCTCACTCAATCATGAATCAGAAACAACATGCTGCAGTGTGCAGCTCGATCCCATAAATATCCTTACAAACCAGGCCCTCGGCCTCACTGAATCACGAATCAGAATCAACATGCTGCGGCGTGCAGCCCGATCCCATAAATATCCTCACAAATCAGGCCCTCGGCCTCACTCAGTCATAAACCTCTCAATCTACTCGGACTATCAGTAAAAATAGGGTACTCAGCCCAAAACAACATTTTTATATGCATCAAAACAGAGTAATAAGTCTGAGTTATGAAATCAATAAATATAACATGACTGAGTATAGGTTTTTCAACCAAAAATAGTTAGAGGATGATAAGAAAAAGTCCCCTAAGGGTCCAAACAGCTCTGGCACAAGGCCCGAATATGGCATTCAGCTCAATTTACAGAAAACTCTTTCTAAAACACATAAGTATATGTAGTTTCAACCACATACGCAACTTTATAGTTGCTGCGGGACGGACCAAATCACAATCCCCAACGGTGCACGCCCACACGCCCGTCACCTAGCATGCGCATCACCTCAAAGTGGTAAAACGATACGAAATCCAAGGTTTCATACCCTCAGGACTAGTTTACAACTGTTACTTACCTCAAACCGGTCAAATCTCGACTCCGCGAATGTTTTTGCCCCTCGACTCGGCCTCTAAATGCTCCGAATCTATTAACAATCAGTACAATACCACCAATATATGCTAATGGAATGGATTCCACACGAAAAACTATCAATAGACCAAAATCCCATAATCTACTCAAATCCGGCCCCCGGACCCACGTCTCAGAATCCGACAAAAATTACAAAACTAGAAAGCCATTCACTCACAAGTCTACCCATACAAAATTTATCAAAATCCGACATCAAATGGCCATTCAAATCCCCAAAATCATCTCTCTAATTCTCTTCCATTTTCCCCCAATTCCCAATTTAGATGATGAAAATCAAGACACAATCATGGAATCTAACCAAAATCAAGTGAAGAACACTTACCCCAATCGCCTCTCTAAAATTCCCTTCAAAAATCGCCCAATTCCGTGGTCTCTAGCCCAAAATATGAAAAATGGGTTCAAACCCTCGATTTTGATATTTAACACTGCTGCCCAGATTTAACTCTTCGCGAATGCGGCAGTGTCCTCGCGTTTGCGAAGCACAAACTACCTCTGACTTGGAAATCCTCCTTCGTGAACGCGTACCTTAGCCAGCTCAACCCATCGTGAACACGACGCCCTCCTCGCGAACGTGTAGACCAATGGCCTTGGGTCCCCAGCTGCCTCCACTTCTCTTCGCGAATGCGAGACCTCATGCGCGTCCGCGATGCATACTCAAATCAAACCTTCGCGTTCGCGGCCTCCCCTTCGTGAACACGAAGAACAAAATCCCTCTGCTCTCAATAACCCTTCGCAAACGCGATAGCCTTCTCGTGAACGCGAAGAAAGAATTCTCTGCAACAAAATACCAAAAATCCGCCAACTGCTAAAGCCAAGAATTGATCAGTTAACCACCCGAAACTCACCCGAGGCCCTCGGGACCTTAACCAAACATGCCAACACATCCCATAACATCATTCAAACTTAGTTGAGCCTTCGAATCACTCAAAACAACATCAAAACACCAAATTACCCTCGGATTCAAGCCTAAGAACTTCTAAACTTTTAAATTCCGCAAACGATGCCAAAACCTACCAAACCTCGCCCGAATGACCTGAAATTTTGCACACACGTCACAAATGACACTACGAACGTACTCCAACTTCCGAAATTCCATTCCGACCCCGATATCAAATTTTTCACTGCCGACCAAAATCGCCAAATTTTCCAATTCAAGCCTAATTCTTCCACGGACCTCCAAATCACATTCCGGACGCGCTCCCCAGTCCAAAATCACCTAAGAGAGCTAACCGAACCATAAAAATTCACATCCGAGGTCGAATACTAAAAAGTCAAATTTTGGTCAAACCTTTCCAATTTAAAGCTTCAAGCTGAGACCATTCTCCCAAATCAATTTCGGATAACCAGAAAACCAAAACCGATGATTCACATAAGTCATTATACATCAGACGGAACTACTCATGCCCTCAAACAACCGAGCGAAGTGCAATTGCTCAAAACGACCGATCGGGTCGTTACAACTACCAGTCTCTAGGGGTTGTATTTGGAAATTTTGCACTCATGTATTATCATATTTAGACTTATGCTAAGATAATATCCATATTTAGACTTGTTTATGTCTCTATGGTGTCCAGATTTGCTGGTTATGCTTATTGGCTGGCCTAGCGGTTTGGGTTAGGCGTCATCGCGACCTTGATGAAAATTTGGGTCGGATACTAAAGCATGCGCATTAGGCCCCAAATTGAGCCCCATTGTTTAACCAATAAAATGCCAACAAGTTAATTTATTGAAGAAAAAAAATGTGTATTTTAGGTGAAAATATATATTTTGATATAAAAGGAAAAATAACTTTTAGATGTGTGACTAATTTAAGTGACCGTTTGAATATCACTCTTCTAAAGTTTTTAGGTATGAACAAAAAAATTGACCAATGAAATTATTATATTCTACTTCTTACCTTTTTTTAATCAGAAAACATGTAATTATATATTTTTTACACTATTTACTTTATTTATTGATTTGTCCAAGGCCAAGAGTCAATTTTTCGTATAATATTTATACACTATATCCCTTTCTAGCTTTTTCCAAGTTCGAGTCTGATAAGTTATAATATTATTTTCTGAAATAATATTTTAAAAGGTGGAGGGAGGGGGGTGAGGCAGGGTATTTTATTTTAAAAGGCGGAGGGAGGGGGTGAGGCAGGGTGTTTTATGCAATATAGAGCGAGGTGTAATCCCAGAGACATGAGGCGTAAGCCCAGTGAATCTTTAAATTTTTTAATTTATGGCATAATACGTAACCATAAAGAATATATGAAGTACACTAAAAGTTTAAGAAAATTACAATTCATAAAAATAAAGTATCTAGTATTTTTTTATAAATATAATAATACAATAGTGTTAAAGTTACTATAAGATAAAAATCAACTATTACATCTCATCTTTCAAAAGGTTAAAAAATCACAATATTTTTTTTAAAAATATTATCAAATTACACAGTTAAAATTAATAAACAATAAATTCCCTCAATATTGTAATTTAAAGTATTACTCCTCGGGAGTAAATATAAAATTGCTTTCAAATATAATAAAAGTTTGATAGTTTTGAGAGATATAGAACTAAAAATATGAATACCTATAGTAAGTGAAGTGTAAATTTTGGTTGTTCAAGTGATATTCACTCTCCAATCAATTAGTAAATATGCAATACTACGGCTCATTATTTTGAGTTACTCTCAATCTTTATATTTCTATAGACGAATAAAACTTACTCGTTAATTTGTTAAAGAATTTTGAGCGTCAATAGTGCTAATTAGGGAATTTGACGCATGATTTGCGCTAGGAATTGTTAGACGAGCACCGAGCTATGAGCGTTAGACGTATTTCGGGTGCACAGTCAGGCGTTTGGGACGTAAGTCTCAAAAAACTAAGCCCCACATGTCACCCTCCGAATGTTTTGATAGTGCATGGCCCGAGGCGAACCCCGAGGCGAACCCCAAAAAAGCTTTTCAAAATACAACTCTGAAAAACCATAGCTTAGGAGTGCTTTTGAATTTAATTAAATATATTTCACGGTCCTTTTTTGTTTTTTCCTCACGTTTCAAGCACTGCCAGGAGTTACTGAAGCAGCAAAAAGTGTATTTTAGAATCAGGTGATCATTTTCTTGAATCAGATTCTATAAACAAGGATATGCACATCCGTAACTCTCTAGCTAGAAAACTAACAAGGAGAAATCACAGAAAATTTGTTCATGGATCCCCCACTAATCAAACCACCAATCCCACCGGAACCCCCGGATAAGCACAACCAAATGGATGTAGAATTACCAACCCACTCCTATAAGAAAATGCTCTTGGACAAACCGGAGAGCAACCAAACTGATTACTATGAGGTTGACTCTCATCCAAATCCAGATCTCAACAAAGGGAAGCACATTGAACGTTTAATTCCCCTTTCACAAGATAACAAAAAGTGCCTTTACCTTCCATGGCGCTACTCAATAATCATCAAGGTCTTCAAGCGAAAGATGCCCCACCATGTCCTTCGATCTAAACTAATTGAGCTATGGAAACCATCCAAACAGCTAATCTGGATTGACCTAGGGTGGGACTTCTACATAGTCAAATTTAGTTTAGAAGAAAGTATGGTTAAGGCTCTCCACCTTGGCCCCTGGTTCATCTCTGGAAATTTCTTATCTGTGCGCAAATGGGAACCTAAATTTGTTGCTCAAGAAGCAACCCTTACTTCTACTGCCATATGGATCCGGCTCCCTCAATTACCAACAGAATTCTACGATCAGGACATCCTAGAAAAAGTTAGAAGGAAACTGGGCAAACTTCTCAAAATAGACCAATGTACATCCTCTACTCTCAGGGGAAGATATGCCCGTATTTGTATCCAAGTACCACTGGAAACCCCAGTGGAAACATCGGTTATAATAGGAGACCAAAGCAAGTTGTGATATACGAAGGAGAAGGGACTTTGTGCACCATTTGTGGCAGAATCGGGCACACTGCACAAGGTTGCAATTATCGGGCAGCCACACCCACAACAACCCATGAGCCACATGTAGCGCAACAGAGGAAAGCAGTCCAAACGGAGGAAACCGAGTGGAAAACTGTTACCTTCCCAAGAAGACGAAAGCAAAGGTTAGCGAAATCAACAAATAAAAATGGTGTCGGAATGAATAAACCATAACATGCTCCACAGATGAACAAGATACAGGTAAATTTGTTCGATGCTAACTCAGGTAAATTCCTTCAAACTCAAACTCTACGTTACAATTCAAAAAAAGTCAACCCCGCCCAAAATTCCCAAAAAAGGCCCAATGGCCCAATGACTAACTTAAGCCCCACCAACTCGCAAGGGCTGACCCAACAAAGTCAGAAACCCAGTACTCGGGCCCAACCCGGTACAAGAGCCAAAAGGAAAGCGGGGCCAGTTCCTGACGACCCTACTGACCCCAATCATGTTCAAAGCGCCTTTAGCCCAACTTCCGAGACTCCCCTTCTCAATGATGGTGAAATAACCAATGGGGCCGGTATCTTTTCCCCAAATGGGTACAACAACAAAGCCACAACTGTTAGCCCAATTCCCCATCCTAATACACTCACCTACGCTTCCCCTACCAGCCCTCCTGAAACAACCTCTAATGGAGAAATATCAATAGTCGTCACCTACAATCAAGTGCCCTATCTGGTACACCCCCCCCCCCCCCATCTCCAGATGAAAAGACTACAACCGTCAACTCCATTAGATCCCCAATTAATGACCATCCCACCCTCTAGTTCCGATTTCCAGTAACCCTTCCACTGACTGAGATTTGACACCAAAGGGAGTTCTGATGGAACGTCACTCTCTTAAGATCACCCCCTTTGTTACCCAAAGTAGTAAAGCAAAGAAACACAAAAATGGAAAACAAAATGCAACCAACTATCATCACCTCCCTACCACCACCACCGGACCACCAACCGGCCTCCTGGTTGAAGGTTGCTCTACAAGGCCAGTGCCTCTCATACAATTTCACCATGGGCAATCAGAAGGTGACCCTGATAGTAGAAAACCCAGCCCAACTAGCCAGAGTCACGGTGGAAGCATTGAGCAAAGCACTAGCAGCCTTTGGGCCTCTCCTATGGCAGTCGATGATCAACAGAGACAGTAACTCACCATCAACCAACCCTCAAGCACTCAACAACCACATTCTACAGAGCTTCCAAACCCTACCATTCTTCCCAGATCTGACGAAGGAGGATCCATCTGCGGAGCCGGTCTTCGTAATGATCGACCATCAAACTCAACACAAACCATCATCTTCTGCTCCAAAAGAGAAGAGCATTCCCCCCCCCCCCTCCAAAACATCAAGAAAGGAATCTCCAAAGCGCTGGAAATCTTCAAGAAGAAAAATGCCTCGGAGGAAGAGGGAACACCTTATGCCACACCACGAACGGACTCGCTCCTATTGGACTCAGTGAGAGCGATAGAGTTCAGCACAGAAACCAGCAAGATAATAGTGGTACTCTGCCCCAGAATGATGACCAAGTGTGGAATGAATCTCGTCTCTACCCAAACCCATAGTCCAATCAAGCCCTTACTGAACCTAACCCTAGCACTGAGTCTCAAGAGGAAATCACCCCCACCTCTAATGAAGGATCCGCAAGGACCAAGGAACCCTCAAGAGGGACCTCACCAACCACACCCAACTCCACTGATGAATTACATCATATGGAATGTTAGGGGAGGAAACAATGTCGAGTTCAAGCGGCACGGTTTAGAAATGGTGAAAATGCACAAGCCTGCCATGCTTGTCCTGCTTGAAACAAAAATGGCAGACCACCAGAATCTGGCTCAAGAGCTCCAATTTGATATGATCATCTAGTCTCCGGCAGTAGGGCTATCTGGGGGTCTAGTGTTCATGTGGAAAGAGGAGTATGTGGCAATTGAAGAAGTGGCGACTACCCCCCTAGGCATCCATGCAATGGTTAAGGTAAGTCTCAACCACCCTCCATGGCTCTTCTCTGCTATCAATGCTAGTAATCTTTTAGCTAATAGGAAATTCCTATGGGATAACCTAATCACAATATCAATAAACCTCAAAGCCAACTGGTTTGTAGGAGGAGACTTCAATGAAGTCTTAAAGGCCAGGGACAAATTTGGGGGCAATCCCATAAACCTGAGCCGCAATCTGTTCTGGAACTGTATAAATGAGTGTAACCTTCTAGACCTAGGCTATAAAGGAAGCAAATACACTTGGACTAATAAAAGGTACAGTAATAGAACCTCCCTAATCCTAGAAAGAATAGATAGGTGCTTCGCAAATGAAGGTTGGATTCAACAGTACCCTGAGGCTACTGTGCTGCACCTACCTAGGACCCACTCAGATCATTGCCCTTTACAAATTAACTTGGTAGGGCCTCCAAACAACAACCCATCAAGGCCCTTTAGGTTCGAATCAATGTGGGCTAGCCACTCATCCTTCCCTAACATCACCAACAGGGCTTTCTCAGATCATTCCAACCTCCTTCAATCCACTGATTCCTTCAAGACTCTGGTCACCAAGTGGAACCAAGAAGTCTTTGGAAACATCTTCCACCAAAAGAGGAGAATCCTAGCAAGAATTTCTGGAATCCAGAGATCTCCTAGCTACCAACTCAGTAGTTACCTGCTACACCTGAATAAATTTAACTGTTGAACTCAACCTAATCCTCAAAAATGAAGAAGATTTCTGGAAACTTAAATCTAGGATAAACTGGCTAAATGAGGGTGATGCTAGCACTAGATTCTTTCACACCTCCACCCTTAATAGAAGAAGGAGGAACAGAATCCTTTTTCTTAAAGAAGAGAATGGAAACTGGCTCCATGACCAGAAGGATATTCATGCAGCAATATTGGGCTTCTTCACTGAGCTATATACCACATCCCATACCAAAGCCCCTTGGGCTTTCACCAGCCACTCCACTATGTCACCCATTCTGTCTGAAAGCCAAAGAGCTTTTCTGGACAGACCTTTTGATCTGAGTGAGACAAAAAGGGCAGTCTTCTCTCATAAACCCTTTAAATCTCCTGGCCCTGATGGCCTCCACCCCTTCTTCTACCAAAAGTATTGGGACATAGTAGGGGACTCTGTCACAAACTTCTGTCAAAAATGCTTCTCTACAAGTTCTATGGATGGCACCATGAACCAAACTCTCTTGTGCCTAATCCCAAAATGCCCCCAAGCTCCAATGCTATAAAACTTTAGGCCAATAGGACTTTGTAACACCATTTACAAGTCAGTCACAAAATCATTGTGAATAGGATAAAGCCTATCCTGCCCCATATCATTGGGCCAAGCCAAGCCAGCTTCCTTTCTAATAGGAGAGCCTGTGATAATGCCATCATTGTCCAAGAATACATCACTCACTTCAGGAAAATGAGGGGGGAAAGTGGTAACATGATCCTAAAAATTGACCTAAAGAAGGCCTTTGATATGCTGGATGGTCCTTTACTAGAGACACCCTCGCTACTTTCAACTTTTCCCAAGGCTTATCCAAGCTCATTATGTCCTGAATCAGTTCTTCATCCATATCCATTCTTGTCAATCGGGGAAAAACTGATTTTCTTAAACCTTCAAGAGGCATTAGGCAGGGAGACCCTATGTCTCCCTACCTATTCATTATGTGCATGGAAAGACTATCAAGATCTATTGATAAGGCAGTCATAGATAACCAATGGCAGCTCATAAGTATAAGCAGATCTGGACCAAAAATATCCCACCTCTTCTTTGTAGATGACCTAACCCTCTTTGCTAAAGCCAATGACAGGAACTCTAATACCATTCTTTCCATTATACAGAACTTCAATGAGCAGTCAGGACAGAAAATCAATCTTACCAAATCAAGAGTCATGTTTTCCTCAAACATTCCACAGGACTCCATACAGAACCTCTCCAACTCCCTGTCCATCCAGCACACAACATCCTTTGGAAAATACCTTGGTTTCCCCATTCTTCATAAAAACAAACATCTGCAGACTTTCAATTCATCATTGATAACATGCAATCCAAACTGGTTGGTTGGAAAACCAAATGCCTCAACATGGCTGGAAGAACAGTACTAGCCAAAACTTCTTTAAACAGCATTCCTAGCCATGTAATGCAGTACATCAAACTGCCCACTAAAGTTACAAATCAGATTGACAAAATCCAAAGCAACTTTCTTTGGGGCACCACCCCTGAAAAGAAGAAGTTACATCTAATCAAGTGGGAGGTGGTCACTAAGACCAATGCTGGGGGAGGGATAAGACTCCAAAAGGCTAGTATCAAGAACAAAGCTTCCCTTACCAATCTTGCATGGAGAACTTATGAGAATACCAACAGTCTATGGGCAATGTCACACCTCCTTTTTTCACTACACCCTCAGAAGGGTATAAGGGGAGTTATTTCCAACTTGAAGTAACAATCGAAACGGGATTTATTTATTTAAAAATCAGAGTCGCCACTTGGGATAATTTATGGTGTCCCAAGTCACCGGTTTGAATCCCGAATAGAGGAAAGATTTGACTCTGTTTATGTCGGCGAACACAAAAATCCAGGTAAGGAATTATGTTAACCCGGGAGAAGGTGTTAGGCACTCCCGAGTTCCGTGGTTTTAGCACGGTCGCTTTGATCATACTTGGCTTGTTAAATTGTATATTTACTGATTTCAGAACCTATGTGCTTTTGCCTCTCACCGCTTTTTAATTAAGAAAATTATCTTGAAACGGGTTACGCGTACGTATACCCATTTGTTTGGTGCGTCAAAAATCATGTCACGCGGACGTGTCCACAATTAATAACGCTTTATTATTATTAAGAAAGTTTGGGCCGAAGTTGCGCGAACGCATACTCCGATTTTGTTTTTAGAATCGTAATTGTGTTACGCGAACGTATACACAATCACAATGGTATTTTAAGCGGCTCTAAAGTCTTTCTACGAATATTTGATTGTGAATCTAAGGAGGCCGGTCTAGGCGAGGATCTTAAATTAGTTCGAAATTTTAATGAGAATTCAACTTCTTTAACGTGAAAGTTATCACTGAGATCTTCAAACAACCTTGATTGTACTCACTGGGCCCAAGGTGAGCCCAATTTCGGAGATTTGGAGTCATCACAAGCTGGGCTCAATATTGAGCCCTTGTAATATGCAAAAGGGACTGAAACAACAGAAAAATAATCATGGAGC